AACATCTGCCAAATGATGGAAACTTATGTTGAGCTGTTTGTTCTACTAGTGTTTGGTTAGTCACAGAACCAATGATCTCTTGAGCTCAAGATAATAAAGGCAAATCATCAATCTAACAGAAGATGCTTACTTTCCTGGTGGCTGTGCACTATGTTCACGTAAACTATGGCAAGGCGTGTCAATCATCCATTCCTCTAACTGACAAGCAAAAAAGCCCAGACCAAGTAGGTAGGTTAATGTGACAGAGTCAGGATGAGAATTCAAGTATTTTATCCTGCTTGCCATTCTAAAAGTTATAAGAACTTTTAGCTAGACAATTTAGATGGCTAAAGTCACTTAAAATCAGCTCTTCATGAATATTTGAATAGATGCCAAACTTTTTCCTTTAACAAATGACCCTACCCCAAAAACATTCTCTTTAAAAAGAGAAATTATAATTCTCCAGCCTTCACAGACATGCCTGAGAAAACTAAAAATTTATAGGGAACAACTTTCTTGAATTTTTTCTTTTGGCTTGTATCCTTAGAACAAAACCTGGAGGAATAGATGAGTCTCATTTGATTGTAAAGTTACCAATATTGTTGGTTTTGATAATATCATACTTTTCAGTATTTGTTTTTTCTATCTTCCATTGCAGATTTACTAAAGATATCCTCCTTTCTGCGCCAAATTCCTTCCTCAAATATGCTTGTGAATTTGTTTAGGTATACTGATGGCATTTTTTTTTTTGGATATGAGCTATCCTTAAATGTTCACTCACACAAGGCTAAGAAAATGATTCACTCTCAGGCTTAGATATTTAGAAATGCTTAATTTCATTTCTATCCCCAGTTTTTAGTATAGTGCTTGAGATGTTTTCTAAATAAGTTTTGGTTGAATAAATGATTTCCCCTTACCTCTGAAAACTTCTTTTTTTCCCCTGAGCCAACGTACCACATATATATGGTATATAATCAGCAAATGTATAGAGATATAAAATTTAGAACATACTCCCATGGATATAGAGTGAGAAAAAATATTTTCAGTGGTTAACATAATTTTGTATTTTCTAGAGTTTACCAAAAAATCATTAATGATATAGGGGCTTAATCAGGCTTACATACATATATGAGTATAAATATCTAAATATGAATATATTTATTAACCAACTTTGAAAAATTTTATATTTATTTTTTTTTTAATTTTTTTTTTCAACGTTTATTTATTTTTGGGACAGAGAGAGCGACAGAGCATGAACGGGGGAGGGGCAGAGAGAGAGGGAGACACAGAATCGGAAACAGGCTCCAGGCTCTGAGCCATCAGCCCAGAGCCCGATGCGGGGCTCGAACTCACGGACCGCGAGATCGTGACCTGGCTGAAGTTGGACGCTTAACCGTCTGCGCCACCCAGGCGCCCCAAAAATTTTATATTTAAATATTTAATGAACCTTTTTGAATTTACTTTTTGCTATTCATTTCCTACTTGTATATTCAGAAAAGACATCCTCTAATGTGACTACTAGACCACAAACAACATAATTCTGTATCATGCAATGATATCTAATTACTGTAATGAAAAGAGCAACTATAATGGATTTGCCTCATTGCAGTCGCTGTGTTAATATTAAGTTCTAACAATGTTATAAATACTTAAACTCTGAAGTCATATTTTTTTCCTGTATAAAACTTGCATTACTGTTTAAAAGGCATAAAATGCCAGTGGTGTATTATGGAATAAGATTATTTCCAATAATGTTGTGTAAGCTCGTACGTTGTTTTTAAACAACCTAGGATTGTGTTCATCAACTTCCAAAACAAAATGTTACTGGGAGTACTCAGACATATTTCCTCGCAATAAACATTGTTCATTTTATTCTAAGAAATGGAAGCAAATTCAAGATCTTACGTTGTAATAATTAGTGACGCCAAATGTTTCCTACAAGTAATTGCAGTTGACATTTTGTGGCACCTTATAGAATATATGTTCCCTAGAGACAGTAGCCTGGCTCCCTTTAGTTTATAGTTTCAGAAGTCTTACATAGTCACTTAAGCTGAGTACGGTGCCTTGACGACTCAGATTGCTAGGAATATGCCATCTTTCCCTTTCTCCTGCAAAATAATGTACTCTTTCCCTAAAGAAAATGATGGAGAAAGTAATATTAAAAATTTAGAATTTAAAGTTAAAATCTTCTCCAAACCCCTGCCCACCAAGCCAGGCATGTTAGACTTTTGGGCTTGTGTGTTCTCCTCTACACAGTATGTAGAAAGAAAAACACAGTAGAGAGCTACATTTTGCTCTGCTTTTGGAGGAAAGGAAACTCTCTGTCTGTATTTAAAAGGAAACCTTGGGAAACTTTTCTCTGTGAACTAATGATGAAATTATCCTATGCCAAACAAGTCTTTTTTTTTTTTTTTTTAAATGTTTATTTATTTTTGAGACAGAGAGAGACAGAGCATGAGCAGAGAAGGGGCAGAGAGAGAGAGGGAGACACAGAATGTGAAGCAGGCTCCAGGCTCTGAGCTGTCAGCACAGAGCCTGACGCGGGGCACAAACTCACAAACTGTGAGATCATGACCTGAGCTGAAGTCGGACGCTTAACCGACTGAGCCACCCAGGCGCCCCAAACAAGTCTTTCTTAACAAACCAGTGTAATTATCAAAAATTAGATAAGTAATGAAGTAGATTTGAAATTACTAGTTTTGACTCAAATCACAACATGCCAAACTTAGGATCCCTCTTCGGTTTAATATCTGTTATACAGGAAATTTCATAGATCACAGATATAATTAAATATACCAATCTGAGACAAAAAGTGAAGTGTCATAGACTAAACCACTGAATTGTATACTGATGGGGTAAAAAACTGCCCCAATTATCTTTCTTATTAATCATGAGTATGTACAAAATGAGACTGCATTTAAATATAATAATGCAAAGTTTGACTTATAACAGGGTGTGTTTATCAAGCCAACCATGTACTAACAAATAAAATTCTGGATTGACAGCTAGAAACCCAAAGTCCTCTAAGATGGACATGATTTGCAATTCTTGGTCTCTGAGAAATGTAATTACAGAAACCTCATCTCCTCAGGCAGAAAAAGGAGGTTTACTGTGTATTTGTGCTGACTTTCAGTACAGCACTGTGAAGATAGCTTCAGACCCACTTGGTGCCTGTGTTATGAAAATGAAAACATGGTTGTTTTTATACCTTGCTGCTTATGTTTCCTCCTTTCTTTCCTGTCCAAAGTTCCTTCTCTGGCAGTTTCTCTAGCTGCCTGAATTTTTAGAGGGACTTAACCCAACGTGTTTGCTTTCTAATAAACCCTGGGCATCTATCCTTTCTTTTCAGAGTATCAAAGAGCACTGCTCCTGATTCGCAACCTTCCTCAGTGTTCAAAACGAGGCTAGAACCCACCAGAAAACTAAGAAGAAGCAAGGGAGCCAGAGACCAAATAAAGCTTACGTTCTACTAGCAAATTTGCCAATCGTTTTAAAAGTTTGTTTCCAGTGTATAATATTTTTTATGAAGTAGGCTAAGTTTTTTCAGGCCCTTCAGAATCTCATTTTAAAAATTTTGACTCTACAAATGGAGAAGATATGCAGCAATTAACGCTAAAGGAACTAAGGGAAATTTACATTTGATTCAGCTGGTCATAAAGAAAATTGAATAAATCAGACCCTCAGAGTTAGTGGATATAAATTAAAGGCTGTTTCATTAGTCAATCTATTTGATAGTAATTTGCAATATATGAATTAGTTGTATTAGAAGCTAAATAGATAAAACACAAGAAAATAAACCAAATGTAAATGGCAAAACAGTCTTTAGAACTAGGACAAAGGGCTACATTACTAATGGGCAGTGTCTACAAAAATAAGCAAATTTTACCTGTCATCATCTTGTGAAAATCGTCTTTGCAAATCCTCTTTATTCCACTGTTCTTTTTCTTTCCCTTGCTCAGGTATATCTTGTGCTTTTTCCTCGTCTCCTGATTCTCTGTTTTTCTCCTTATTACTTGTGTTTGTGATCTCTGTCCCTTTCTCATTCTCATTAAGTCTTTCTTGCTTTACCTCTTCCTCCTCATGAACTATCTCTTCGTGTTTATCCCCTTCTTGCCCTCCCTCTTCTACTCCCTTTGGCCTTTTGAAAGCAACACAAATCGAAGGCATGCAAATAAACACAAACAAGAAAGAAAAAGTCAAGAAAAAAAATGCATATGAAATTAAACAGAAATGTAATGAAAACTACTAAAAACATAAATAAAAATTACATCTTTTAAACACTGAATACTTTTCTTTCCAGTGTATACCAGAAGCAAGCACAGTGTAAGCAACACTTAGTCATAATTGTTTTTATAGCATATTTTCCTGTCCCAAAGTTGCATGGAAAAAGGTGGTGGTCTCCATTATAGAGTTTTTTTCTGATGTAATGGGAGTAAAGAAATAAATTAGCTTAGGTGCCCATCAAATCTATAGGTCAGGTGATAAGTGAGAATTATAGTAACATATGCTACATTTACAAATTTTCTTGAGAGGCTGAGGAATTTCCCATGCCCTCATAATGGTGTCAGGAGAATGGGGGACCATCCTACTAAAAAAGTAATACTCTTATGTATTCTGAATCACGGAAGTATATTCAGCTAGGTAAAAAGCCCTCCAAAATATCATTTTTCATATTCCTTGGAACATTAAAAAATTCAAGTCTTCACTTACCCATCACTTTCATTTCAGTAAAGACAGAATAGTAACAGAATTACTTTCTGAATAGCAAACATGAAAAAAAGAACTAATGATATCATATCAAGTAGCCTAGGAAGAAAAATGTTATATGTTCTATAAAACTTCTCTGTGCCAGTAGTTTGAATATAGACCAAAATATAATACAAAGCGGTATGTTCAGAAGTTCTTCCTGTCTTCATGACACATAGTAACCTTTCGAAGTAAATGATTTTATGTTTACCCAAAGAAAATCAAAGACCTAAAATATGTTGAAAAGAATTTCCTGCCAAAATCCCCTTACTCACCTGATTTTCTTGTTTCCTCTTGGCCGTTCTGATTGGACGGACATGTAGCTTGTGCTACTGAAACGAGAAGCACTACTAGTCCTGGAAACCGCGGATATATCACTTACATCACTGTCCGAAGATTTAGTGGAAATATTATCTGCCCCTCTATGAGGATCCCATCCTGATCGGTACTGTTAACACAGATTGACAAACACGCAGAGGTTGTCAGTATTACTGCACAAGGCAATTATTAGTTTCTCCTACTTCAGCACTTTAATTGTCCACAGAGGATACTGCAAAACCCCACTCAGTGGCATAGAAAACAAAAGTGAATGGCAATTATCCTAAAAGAAAAATTCAATTTATATGAAACCCTTGTTTTTAGCAAAGGCAATTAGAGCATTTTCACCCCCTCCCCCCCCAATGAAGGCCATTAAAACAGTTTCACAATAGCAATGGCCCCGGGGAAGAACATTTAGGTGAAATCTGGGAAATAAACATAAGGAAGCAGAATTGTTTTATTCTGTACAAAATTTGGAAAAAAAAAAAAGTGTGATAAGGTTGCCATTGTAACTTATAAAGACCAATTTTAGTAGCCATCAATGTTCTCTGAAATCCATTATGCTTCACTGAAAACCTAGAGATAATGTAAAATCTAATTATTAAAACACTAACTTTTGAACGGAAAGCCAAGAAAAAAGAGAGTTGAATTTTTGGGTGGTTGCTGGAATTTTGATGAATCCTAGAAATACTAGAAAAGTCATTATTATTTACAATAGTTCAAACTTCCTGGAATTGAAATAACCGAATAGTTATCTGACCCAGCCAGCATGCAGGGTGTTATGGGTGTTCAAATATTCTGGTAAGTTGAAAACCATCATAAATGCTTTATGTTAATGACATTTGGGGTGTAAAAAAGAATAGACTTTGGAGTCTGGAAAACCTGGAGTGAGAAAAACTCTTACTAGCTAGGTAAACTTGAGCAAATTATTTAATCTTTAAAAGTCTGTTTATAAAATAACAGGGATAATATCTTCCTTTTGGGGTTTTGAAAATTAGAAATAATGCATGTCTGCTATCTAATAATATAAATAAATACAGTATTATAGCTGTATCATTACTAACTGATGGCTATTAATGGGTTAAGAGACTATCTGCTAATAGAGTTTTCTTTATTTATATGTACTTCAAACATAATGTTGAAACATCCTTATTTGGTCAGTTTTGCAATGGAGATTATTCTAAGCATAGATACTAGCAAATTTCACAAAGCCTTAGAAAGATGATTATCTTATATAAACAATTTACTGTGATTTGAAGAATCTTTACCTAATAAACCATCCTGTAAGAATAACAATTCACTGCAAATATTAGAGAGATATAAACATTCTGGCTAAGATAAATTGAATGGCAATAGGGTATAGTATAAACATTAAATCAGATTCAAATGATCTGGATTCTTTTCCCCCCAGTATCTCTCTGTGTCTAGTTATATATTTTTGAGTTAATAACTGATCCTTTTCTTCAAATGTAAAATAAGGGAATTATTTTTAAGGCTCCATAAAATTTTAATAACCAAATCCTTAATCTAGAAATATACATTCAAATTAGGTGAGATATTGGCCTTTCTTAGTCCCTTTTAACTTCCCACTTTGTTGGATAAACTCTCACGTATCAAAAAACATATACACTTAAGTTCTGCAAAACTTGCTGCCTTGTTTTCAGGAAGTATCTGTGTAAATAGAAACCTCATGTTGATTTTAAAGGTAATTACTTATTTACAGTGAATTTATTTGGAGAACATTTGGTCCACGATATCTTTTTCAAACTGAAGCCACATTAAAATAGTAAAAACAATTTAATTTAAGTGACAGTGTTTTCAGCCATTGTGTAGAATAACATTTCAATGGGTGGATCCAACATTATCTAAGTTAGCCAGTGCACACAAAAATGTACTGAAAGCAGATGAAAAACCCTAAATTTTAACTCTAGGAGGTGGTGAGAAATAATAAGGTACTAAGAGCACACGCTTTGGAGTGAGACTGAATTGTTGATCTGAATTTTGGCCTCACAAATTATTAAGTTTGTAATCTTGGGCCAATTGCTTCTGTAAGTCCCAGTTCTGTATGTGTTAAAATACAGACCGCTGTACCCATTTCCTAGGTTTGCTGCAAGGATTAAGATAATGTATATAAAAAACACTTGGCACAATATCAACATAGAACAAGTGTTTAATAAATGACAAATGATGATGACGATGATGGTGATGATGATTAGATAGTAGTTGAATACTGTTTCAGTATCATTCCAGGTACATCTTCACTGAAAAAAATATTGGGTAGAACCAACAATCAATATATTATTTTAAGGCTGCTCTAAGCTACAATAAGAATATAATCATTTCTACATATGTTCAAGAGATTCATTTCAGAACATATGTTTATAAAAAAATTTAAATACTAAAGCAAACTTTTCCACTGACTCCTAGTATGTCCTCAGGTCTCACCTTCCCCATTTGACCAGCTTCATCCACATCCCATGATCTTACCAACGACTGCTGATTCCCAACTACAGGATGAGAAATAGCTTTATCTCGGCAGGAAATACATGACACTTCTTGACTGACACAGAAGATGCCACATTTTTAATATTTGTTTCTAGCACTTCATTTTGATATCCGAAGCCGACTTGTTCCTGTGTATCCCCTGTCTCCCTGATTGGTTCTTGTCTGATTGCTATGCCTTCATTTCTGAAACCTACATTTTACTTGACTTTTGTATTTCACTAGTTAGGATTCTGACTTTGCACACTCTAACCTTTGTCTTTTTAAGTTGTCATGACTTTTGCTTCTGTTGCTATGATTCATAGGTGCATACAGGTCAGCCTAAGGCTTAAGAATTTGGTTAAAAAAAACCACGTGGGGTACATTGCACGTATGTTTGGTTAAGACCTCTTAGATAATCTAGTTTGCTCAGCTAAAATTTTGGAAATGAAAAATTTAGGGAAAGATAAGTTTCCACATACTATATTATAGTTTTATGCTTTTATAGAATTCAACATACTACTTCATGTTAAAGGGGTACATGTGTGTATGTGTGTGTTCATGTCTAATTTCATACTCTTTACTAGAATATAAGCTCCTGAAGGCCAGGATAATATCTTCCTTATTCTTGTAACTCTTTTCGCACCTAAGAGTCAAAGATTTAATTTAATTTAAACTCTATGCCTTAGTTTTCATACCAGTAAGATAAGGATAAATCCCTTTGTAAGGATTTTTGTGAGGAGGAAGAGACATGATATGTTTAAAATACTCAGTAGTGCACTTAGCACATAGCAACTGCTCATTTCCAGTGCCTAAGCAGAAAGTCATTAAATAAAAAGACACTGAATGGAAAAGTTTATATAAAGAAAGTATGCAAATTAGTCAAAGCTCTAGTTTGATGATGATTCTACTACCTTCTCAAGGCTTGCATTAAGTGCATTTCTCTGTCTACTTCTAAGCAACTGATATGTTTACCTTTGGGGTAGGGCTCAAGTTTCCATTACAAATTTACATATGATAAACAGAATGAGAAATACAGAAAGTGAGAAATAATGGGAAAAATATTTTTATAAATAAAACTTCAGAAGAACATATTTTGAATATACTTAGAATATAATATCTTCATATATACATACAACTCCAAAACCCCCCAGAAATCAAAGTAATAAATGACCTAATACTAGAGTTAACTTTTAAAACAATTCATTTTTTAAAACAATTTCCTAACTGTATTTTTTCTTTTCCTAAAGTATGGTAAACAAAAGTTTATAGTTTAACAGTGAGATAGAAGCAGCTAAATTATTATTGTACCAAGGTAGTTATGAATGCAAATAAGTTCACTTATTTAGAAAATGGTTGGTGTTGTCTTGGCACTATACAATAAAAAATGTTTTCAACGATTAGCATGTATTAGTTTACAGCTGACAGATGAACAATGGATGATATGCTCACCATTCTCTTTAATGGAACGAAAACAAAGAAGATTTATTGCATAGGATTATACAATCTCAGCTGAAAATTGTGCCCTGATTGGGATCATTAAAATCTTGGAAGAGACTAAGGAAGCTTTTCCCGACAGCATTTTGATGTTTTGTACATTACTATTAAGCACATCATGAACCAGAAAAATTTACAGGAAACTATTATTCTTCAGGATGTTCCAGACTCTAAAGAGTTCCTAAGTGGCCTAGAAAAGTTAATGTCCTCCCTATTTATCTAACATTAGTGGAAAGTAATAGCATATCATCATAGCTCTATTAAAAGGAAAGTTATTATTAAAATTTTAGAATAATATTCTTGAGAAAAAAGTAAATTCAAATTTCTAAAATAAGATTTTCGTTTTTCCAGTATACTTATTGGAAGCTCTTAGATTAGGTAATTTCCTAGTTTGATTTCTCTAACAGCCATTTCACCAACTCATGTTATTTGAGCTTTGTACGTGAACTTCTTGCACAAAACACAGGGGTGGGATTATGAGTTCCTTTGAACATTGCTTGTTACCAGAAAACTGCCATGTTGTCTAAAAATCTAGTGCAAGGATTGGTTATTGCAAAATACCAGGCACTAAAAAGTCCAAGTTTGAAGAAAAAATGTTTTATGTCATCAAGAAATAGTTGGAGGAATATTCATATCACATTCAGAGTAGATCATAAGATTGGGAAAAAATAGGGCAAACAAAATCTTTGGAACACAGAGAAGCTGAAGTTCTGGACAGGGCTCTTGACACCAGTCTTGGGGGCTAGAGGAGACAAGAACAGAGCATGGGGAGTCTTCGCCCTGTGGTCAATAAAATAATCATGTCAGCAAGATGATGCTATCCTTTGCGCTAACCGATTTTTATAGGATTTCAGATCATAATTCAAAGAGAGTCCTGTTGTTTCTTGATAAGTACCACAACTGCAGGGACTCTCCCTGTGAGGAGCTACTTCCAGATAATTTTCCTTTTATCCTAGCTAAGGCTCTTATTGGTGCTTGATTTGAATGTTGCACTGTGTAAAAATCTATTAGAGATAATTTTGTGTAGATAGGACTCCTCAAGAGGGTATTGCATGATAAGGTCTTCACTTGAGAGGGAGAAGGAAGTGAGGAAAAGCTACAGAAAATTGAAGGCTAATTTAAGATTCAGCCTTGTAAATAATATTCTGCAAA